CCTAAGCAATGTCATTTCCCCTTTTCAAGGAGGCTGTTGGAGTGCATGTAAACTCTGGTTTTTGAATAACCTGGTTCCTTAAGTGCATGTATTTACAGTCATGGTGGTTAATAGAGATCGTATTTACAGTCATCATGAAATTTGAGGAGTTTTCAGACTCTCTCGTGCTCATAAAGTACACAGAAATGTAATTTCAGTCCGCTTTGCTCCGGTGTGTATACATAAATGCAATTCCGTCTTATTCATAAAATAAATAACAAATAACATGTTTTGATTTATTAAACATCACTGGGATCAAGATAATTTCCCATCTTGCACTTGTTTTCAGTAAGCTTGATGAGTTTATCTTTCCCTCCCTTTGACAACTGAAGGAAATATTTGTCTTCTTAATTTGTGTCTTTTTCACATTTATACAGTTTAGATTTGTTTCTCTGTCTTGCTGTTTTATCATTGGAATCTGAAAAAATGTAAATACCTTATTTTTAATATAAGATTAAAATTTCTTTACATGTTTTGTTTTACGTGTTGCATGACTTGTTTGTTTTTGTGATCCGACTCACAGTGTAAAACGTGACTATGTCAAGAGTGTGTACAGTACATGTTTGTCTGTTTGCGTTTCTGTCTCTGTTCTGAGCGCTCCCCTTTGTAATCAGGAAGTGTCTGACAGGGTCAAAGGTGAAGGAGCCAAACACCACTCAGCAGAAACTGAGAAGAAAAACAAAAACTTGTATTCTGACCCTCTCTCTATCGTTCTCCTTTTTTCATCCCTCCTTCTGCGTCTGCTGGACACAATTAACACTCTGTTTTCTCGAACGTCTCTCGCTGCCGTCTCCTTATCTCACTCTGTTTTTGTTTCTTTCTGCCTCCTTCCTTTTTAGAACTCACTCCCTCTTTTCCTTCTTTCTCTCTTGTGGTCTGGCATTTCTCCGCTCTACATTCCAGCTGTGTGTGTGTTTGGGGGGAATTTGAAAGAAGCTTGTGTGTGGGTGTGTGTGTGAGAGAGATTCTGAATTCTTTATATGTAACCCTTCAAAGTTGTGTGTATGTGTTCATACTGTGCTTGCTTGACTTTGTTACTGTGAGCAACGCACATTCATTTCTGCAACTCTGACATACTTTTGGATGCTGGAAGTGAAGGGGTGTGTGTGACACTGTGTGTATGTGTGTACTTTCCTGATTACAGTATATAATTATACATATAGGGCATGCATGTGCATTTCTTTAATGCCTAAATAGCACATGAAATATACAATATCCTATACATATTACTGTAATGAACACATTTTTCTTTGTACATACTGATTATAATAATAACTATGGCTGCAACCAATGATTAATTTCATTGTTTCATTGATCTACTTATTGTTTACTGTTAATCGATTCATTGCTCAAAAGGCAATGGCGAAATCATTTATATAACACTAGTCATACATGAGGCATTTGAGGTTACAGACTTCAGAAGGAACTGGAAACAAACTTTAAAAGGTTGAATAAAATAAATTGTACAGGACTGTGCAAATGGTTTAGGCAGGCGTGGAAAAATGCAGTAAAGTAAGAATGTTTTCAAAAATAGACATGTTCAAACATTTATTAGTTATCAGTTAACAAAATACGAAGTGAGTGAACAAAGAAAATTCAAAATCAAATCAATATTTGGTGTCACCATCCTTCAAAACAGCATCAGCTCTTCTAGGTACACTTGCACAAAGTCAGGGATTTTGTAGGCATATCTACAGGTGTATAATTAAACAGTTATACCAAACAGTAGCTAATAATCACCAATTTAATATGTAGATTGAAACACAATCATTAACTGAAACATACACAGCTGTGTAGGAGGAAGACAACTGGGTGAAGCTAACAAGGTGAGGTTACCGAAGACAGTTTACTGTCAAAAGTCATACACCCTGGCAAGACTGAGCACAGCAACAAGACACAAGGTAGTTATACTGCATCAGCAAGGTCTCTCCCAGGCAGAAGTTTCAAGGCAGAAAGTGGTTTCCAGATGTGCTGTCTGAGGTCTTTTAAATGCATACTAAGATTTACTGCAGCAGATGAAAGACACATTATGTTAATTTACTGAATAAATATAATTTATTCTGCAGCATGACAATGACCCCAAACATACAGCAAAAGTAATTAAGAACTATCTTCAGCGTAAAAGAAGAACTAGAAGTCTAGGAATAGTAGATCCCTTATCTCAAAATCATCGTACGTCTGGGATTACATGAAGGGAGGGAAGCAACTGAGGCTGCCTAAATACACAGAAGGACTGTGGGTAGTTCTCCAAGATGTTTGGCACAACCTACCTGCAGAGTTATGTGCAAGTTTACCTAGAAGAATTGATGCTGATTGGAAGGCAAAGGGTGGTCACACCAAATGTTGATTTGATTGAGAATTTTTCTGTTCACTAGCTTTGAATTTTGTTAATTGATAAATATAATCTATTAACATTATTACGGCAGTATGTGTTTCCCTATGCTGTGTCCATGTTCTTTTCTGTCCTCCAGTTCTGCTCTGGGAGTGCTCCAGCTAATTACTGAACAAGGTCCACCTGGCCTTGGAAGGCGGGCTTTAAAAGCTCCTGCGCAAGCATCAGAAGAGAGGCTTCTTGATTTGGGACTGCTGGTCTTGCTGCATCTCACCTGGGGCATTTTTGTGTTATGTTCTTGTGTTTTTGGTGTTCTTAATTTATCGTCTTGTTATGTTAATAAATTCCCTTAATTTGGTTGTTTTAAAAGTGTTTATATGTGTTAAGTTTGGGTCAGTGTTGGGGTGTTGTTCGCCCCATGTTGCCAAAGGGTGGGGCGTAACAACATGTTTATTTTTGAAAGCATTCTCACTTCCACACCTGTTTCCACACAGTACTGTATGTAAGTGTGCGTAATGTATACACATTTTGAGGCAATCCTGACAAAACAAAATTAAAGTGGTAAATAAAAAAGTAAATTGCCCAAGTTTCTAAAGGCCAACAGCCAAAAAAAACAAAAGGATTAAGTTTACAGTGAGATGACAGAAAAGATGCAAATTTTCACAATGGGGAAAGCAGAACAATAATTTTACTCATTTGGCAGATGCTTTTATCCAAAGCGACTTACATTTGTGGAACAACATACAATCATCAACAAATCATCAATACAGCACGAGATCTACAACTGACAATGCATACTAGTAAGAGCAGCAATAAATACTAGTAAGAGCTAATAGCATGTATGGCATCAATCGGGTAAATACTTAGGGAAAGAAGTTAGAGTAAAAAAGTGCAGTCAATACAAGAGAATTGTAAGGGGATAGAAGAAGAAGAAGAAGAAGAGCACAGGAAGTGCATGTTAGATGTTAGAGGTGTTATAAGAGATAATGTTCTCGGAAGAGATGAGATTTCAAGAGCTTGTTGAAGATAGAGACGGACACCCCTGCTCTGATGGCATATCGTAGCTCGTTCCACCATCACGGTGACACAGATCAGAACAGCCGGGATTGCAAATGCTTTGTGTATAGGGATGGCAGAGCCAGGTGGTGTTCATTGGAGGAGAGCAGTGACCGAGAAGGACCCATAAATGTTTTTGTTTTTGTTTTGATAAAGTTCTTCAAACAAATAATTATGTTTTTTTCATGCTTCTGGTGATTGACAAATAAATCAACTTTGTATATGTGCATTATTTAAAAACATGTTTTAGTTGAGCCTGTGTTTGCATGTCTGAGGGAGGAATCATAGTTGGCTGGGAGACAGAGCCTATATCTGCCTGTCTTCAGGGAAGTACTATAAATGTCAGAGTATGCCGTCAACACGTGTGTGTGTGTGTGTGCGTGTGTGTGTGTGCGTGTGTAGCTATTGTATGAGTCAGCAGACCAACCCGCTCACCAACACAAACACACAGACAATAAGCGGAGAAAAGGATAAAATATAATTTAAAATTGTTAATCGTATTTTATTCACGACATTTGTAGAAATATAGAAATAACCACGACTGGACAAGACACTGGCTGTCATGCAATATAAAGAAGAGCTATCGTAAAAGACAGTTGCTTTGATATTATCTCATTACCTGTCATCCAGTCCTCATCCAGATCTCATCTGTCTCTTTCTTTTTTTTCCTGTAATCTTGTTCTTTCTCCCGTCAATGTTGATTAACGATAGCTGCAAGGGAGCGATAGCATCTCTGCCCTTATTTTTTTCTCTTCACTTTCTTTTTCTTCTTTAATCTACTGTTTACTTATACTCTAATTTGTGCACTTTCTCTTATAGCACTTTACTACCTGCATTATTTTTTATCTCTGGAAATACACCATGACTCATGTTGTGATGACCTGGATGTTGTTCAGGTTATGTGTGACGCATTTTTAAAAAAGCTTGGGGACATCATTGTGACAACACACACACACACACACACACTCGGTTTAAACTCTTCCTTTTTCTGACTCAGGGATAGTCATGTCACATTGTCCTCATCCTTGATTGTAGTGGTATTAACCTGCCAACCAACTTTTATAACCCGCTCACCCACTTAAGATGACAGAAACATGCTGTCTTATGTGATATAATCCCTCAGGCAGGCTCTGGGATGCTCTCCCAGCGGACATTGCCAGGACCCCTCAACCAGGAGGTGGAAAAATGTTTTCCTGCAGCCGATGCCCCCAAGTGACGTCTAAGTGAACAATATCTTTTTACCATCAAATTACCACAAACCACTTGACATGCATTAAACAGACGGCCTTTAGGCCCCAGGCGCCTGTTTTTTTTTGGCAATTTCGGATCCATAACCTAGTCTTCATATGGTCATAGGTTTGGAAATCCCCAAATCTGAGTTTCAGTAAAGGTTAAGTCGATAGTACTGATTAACAACCATGTCAGCCCTCTGCAAATGTTTTATAGTCCTGCTGTGCAACAGAAGAGTCTTACTTTGTACTCTCACAATCTCTTCAGCAGCTTCACCTCACGCACCTGTTAATCTCTTACTCCTATTTGTAACTCTAAATTGAACTTCTTTCTCTCCTTGCAGCATCTTCAATGCAACATCCAGGCTTTACAAGACGAGCTCAGAATCCAGCGAGATCTAAACCAGCTCTTCCAGTCCGACTACTCAGAGTCCGGTCACCTCGGTAACCAGGGCATCCCCCCTCAGGAAATGACAGAGGAGAACTTCTTGCGTCTCCACGGCGAGTACGAGCGTCAGGTCAAAGAGCTCTTCCTACTAAGGAAGACTGTGGAAGAAATGGAGCTGAGGATAGACACACAGAAACACACACTAACCGCCAGGTAAAGATAAAATGAAATTCGTTAAGATACGTCATTTTGGGGATCTGTTGCTGCCATTTTGGGCTGCCAATGTGTGAAATGGAACTTTAAATCAATGTTTCTTCTCTAACAGGGATGAATCCATAAAGAAGTTACTGGAAATGTTGCAGAGTAAAGGCCTGTCGTCACGGGCAACCGAGGAGGACCATGAACGAACGAGGCGACTGGCCGATGCTGAGATGACGATCCACCAACTGGAGGGCCTACTGGAGCAAAAAGACAAGGAGATGCTACAACTCAGAGAGGTATTTGTGTGTGTGTGTGTGTGTGTGTGTGTGTGTGTGCACAGGTGTGTGGGTGTGACTGGCGAAGAAGAAACAATGTGCATTCAAGCATTCCCGTGTGAGCGGGTATATGTCTTTTTGTATATCCAGATGTGAGTGTGCGCAAATCAAACCATGTAATATCCAGGCAAGGCCCTTGGCTGCTTCCACTCTTGGCTCATAATCCAGTGTTAATGCAACACAGAAACATCAGCGCACACAAACACAGGAATGCACTATTCATGCTATTTTTTCTACTCTCTCTTGTTCGCTGTGTCTCTTTTCTAACATCTCTCTCAGCTGTTTTAACTCTCCGTTCATCATTGTGTTTATTGTCTCATACAACAGCTTCCTCTAGTGGTAAGATGTTGTTAATGAACAATTCTCTAACAAGGACCACACCACAACAATATGTCATTTAAAGGTTTAATGGAAATTAAGAATGTATAAATGTTTCAGGATGTATGTAAAGGGGAGGGGTGATGATGGAAGAAGGATGTTGTCTGTTAGACTAGTGTTGGAGGCCACCAGGCGGGAAAGGGAGGTTGGGTCGAGCAATCTGAGACAAACGGAGCAGGAGACCAGGGATAGATGGGCTTGACAGGTAATTAGAGGTGTGGTTGAGGTGTGGCCCTGCTGCCGAACCTTAAAAAGTTAACTTGATCAAATGATCAAAGGTGGACATTAACATTTTCAGTAACAAAATGTTTATTTCGGTATACAAGATACCTGTGATGCACTTTGAAAAGTGCAACGCTGCATTGAGTAACAAAAAAAGACTTTAACAGACAGGGAATGAATCAAAATGAAATGTTTATTAATCACTGATAGATCAAATACAGTACACTAACAAAAACAAAAATACACTAATGTGTTTGTCAGTGTACAGACCGACATGTTTTTTTACCTCTTGATGGTAAAGGACAAAGGATTTTAAGGACAAATACAGTATAATATTATATGTCTGAAAATAATAATTATCATAAACAGTTGACAACTTGTTTTGTTACAAGCCACCAGGTTGACAAGTGTTTCAGTTACACACTGAAAGATAACATACAGAAGCAAATGATGCATCATTAAATGTATCATAGGCAGCAAATGACTGAGAAAGTGACTTGGGAAGCGAAATGAAAGGGTTTAAAGGATAATGAGGAGATACAGTCTCTTCAAACTATTATATTTTCTGGCCAGTGTTGCTTTATATTGCATCAGTGTGCTGGACAGGGTTTCTGTTTTTGACAGTTTTTGACAACAGTCATTGGTAATTGCACAACAGAAAACTCCTCAGGGAAACCGGAATAAGGTTACGCAATATCTGGAAGATAGTTAAATAGTAGATAGTTAAAGTGACAATTGCATTTGTCTTGCAGACTTCCCGCTGCACCGCTGACACTTCTTTTTTGGACATTGTTCATTTCACTAATTAACAGAGCAGCCCTGGCAACTTCCTACAGCTGACTGTAAGAGAAATATTTCCCTATTGGGGATGGAGCTGAGGAAGACTATAAGGATTTGAATTTAAGCTACTGAGTACCTAATTGTGCATAATCACTTGACTTTAAGCGCTGAAAATCAAATTTATAGCAATGGAATATTTTATTTTACTATTATTAAAATGATCAAGTACAGTAACACTCACAAAACAGCTTTTATTAAAGAGTAGCTACAGATAATGCTCTAACAAGGGCCTTTTGGAGGAGATTAAAGAGGCCTGTCGATATTTGCTTGGTCACAGATCTGACCTGATGAAAATGGGTATAACAGTGTCAATTAATCAGCAACTGCTATAGAAATGTGCCAGTAGTTATTGTCTTGTAAAAGTACAAGTCAGGTCTAAAACGTTTGCTCGTTGGTTGAAGGTTGGGTAACTGGAGAAGGCCAACAACATGACCAATACCATAATATAGAGGGAACAACGACACTGCAAGTAATGTCACTAAAGTTAGCTAAGTTGTGGCTTAACAGTTGCATCTGTGAAGCTAGCATGCAGAGAGGACATGACGGTTTCCCAGAGCCAGCATACCAGCTCTAGAAAGCGCTACTTACACCTCTCCTGCTTCTATAGCTAACATCACAACAGCAGTATACCTTGGCAAAGTAGAACGTGAGCTGAATGTCCGTGGGCAAGCCATTTAACGTTACCTGACACACAAATCATGACTGGAACGACTGGAAAAATGTTGTAAGGCTTGGTCTGAGGCACTTTGTTTCCCATTTACTGAGCCAGGGCTGAGTACAAACACCTGATTATTATATATTTTACAAATACAAATTCTTTTATTTTTAAGATGTAGTTGTTATAGCTTTGCTTCCATGCTTGTGCAATGGCTGCATCAAATTTACCAGAAACACTCCCCAGGAAGTGATTACCAAACAAAAAATATTTTTTAAGGGAATATCTGAATGTGTGTATGAGTATGTGTGTATGTGTGGGAGGGGTGGGGGGTGGGTCCTGAACATAACATAGCATTCATGTGTGCGCCTTAAGCCATGGCACCCTACTATCCCTTTTACATATGTGTGTTGTTGTGCTTCCTGGCTCATGCATTAGCTGTCTTTGTTAGCCTCTGAGTGTGTTTCCTCCAAAGAAAAGCAGTGGTGCGTACACTGCTGCGTCCTCCCCTCTGCTTTCATTCCCTCCCTCTCTAGTACTCTTTTCTCCTTGTCCTTTTTGTGCTTTTTTGTGCCTTTACATACCGCTACACTCCCCCTTTGCTCTCACTTCATTTGACTAGTGAGATGTGATGTGGTAACAACAGCAAACAGATAGGATTATGTTTCATGTAACTCAGTAAATTAGGGTAGTTAAAATTTAGATTTTTTTTTAGAATTTAGGGGATTTTTTGTGAAAAGAAATTTAGTGTAGATCTACCAAATTCTTGCAGGATTTTCAGTATGCTGCTGAAGGAGATTTACACTGGTATCCCATGAGGCTAGATTTCTTCATTTGAAACGAATTTGTGATCTAATGTGGATTTTTAAAGATTCTTAATCATTTTACATTTTATTTGAACCTAGAATTAGCATCATTTCAGGCTGTCAGATTCGATCCTTCGTTCAGATTTGAGGCTGAAACGGTGTCAGCTTAGTTAGTGGCGTTCCTCGCAGTTTTGGAGGATGTGGGATGGACGGATCGACCCAAGGAGGCTAAAAGCCAGCGCCTTCATGAGAGGGAAACAACTCATTCCCTCCTCCCCCTCCATGCCCGTCTCTCCCTCTTTTCCTGTTTCTCCTTCCATCCCTATTCCACCTCCTTTCCACGTTTCTCCCCCCTTCCAACCCTCTCTTCCTTTCTCCCCCTCATGGCATTCCCCACTGTGTTCCTCTCCATCCTTCCCTGCACCTTCCCCTCGTTCCCATCGCCACTCCATCCATCCCATTGCCCTCCCCTCCTCCTGTCCTCCCCATTATCCCTCTTTCGACGCCACCTCCTCGGTCCATCCTTCCCTCCAGCGCTCGCCATCCTTCCCTGCTCCCGCTCCACGGCCTACACCCACCATTCAGCCCCCCCGCCATCCCTTTCCGTCAGTTGTTGTCGCCTCCTGTCCTGGCCCACGACCTTCTCCCTGCTCACACCATCCCTCGCTCCATCCCTCTGTGTCTTTCTCACTGCCGTCTGCTGACCACCGCGGTGTCTGTGTCTCTCAGGAGCTACACAGGAGATACGAAGCAGCTCCAGAATCAACCAAGACCAAGGCTTTGCAGACAGTCATCGAAATGAAGGTAAACATGTGTTTGATATCAGGTATCAGCTTCAGATATCCAGGATCATCTGGCTGTATTTATTAGCAACCAATGTAATCATACTGATGATTTTTTTCAATGTTATGAATCATGATAAATAAAGTTAACACTATGAAGCTGTTACCAAGTCTGAGTTTTTGCAGGATAATTCAGAAAGATTGTCAAACTGAATTAATTAGTTTCAACCATCAGAGAATCCGCTTTTTATTTTAACTACATGATGAGGATATAGTAGAGTTAGTATTGGCCAACACAGAGTGGACAGTAGAAGTTACCTTTGCAACATGTCAAATTTCCCTGACTAAGTATTGAGCACACAAAGGTGAAATTTTGGAAATTGAAACACTAAACCACATTGAAACCACTATCAAACCTCCTACCGTAGCTCAAATTGCTCCCTTTGGTGGAGGTACATTCGCAGTTTGTCACATATTTTCAAAAACTGCAATATTAAAAGTATTAACAGGAAATAAGTGCCTCTTAAATGTGTCCAATGTAAATGTCAGATAGGACAGATCTGACAAATTAAAGGGGTCCATAATGCAGTCATGTTCACATCAGGACTGGTATTGTTCATTTTTACATTCCTCATATTCATATTTATACTGCATCTCCAAACCATCTACTTTGAATATTGCTAATACTGAAGATCAAGGCTGTAAATTCTGTCAGTAGGTCAGTATTAGCCTTACCTGCCTTCAACATCATATATGTTACATTCCTTAATTCTTCAGTCTGTTACTTTTCAAATGGACTTTCCTGCTGTGCTCATCTGTCAGAAAAACCAATGGAATATATTTCAGTTTTTTTAATCATTTTTATGGCCCAGGTACAGTAAACCACACCCGGTCTTTCTTCTTAACATGAGCATGTTGATGTCCTGCCAGGATGCGAAGATCAGCTCACTGGAGCGCGGCATGAGAGAGCTAGAGGAGGAGGTGAACATGCTCAAGTCCAATGGTGCTCTGAGCAGCGAGGAGCGGGAGGAGGAGATCAAACAGATGGAGGTCTACCGATCCCACTCCAAGTTCATGAAGAACAAGGTGACAGATTCACACATGCACACACCCTATCTACCTGTCTCACCATTTTTATTTTCCGTGTTTTGAAAGATTATGATTACAGGATGTTGCTGGCTGGGAAATAACTCGTCTTCTTTACACTTGACGGATACAACTTAAGTGTCAAGAACAAAAAGGGTTACTGTGGGAGCCACGCTCATTAAAGCGAACCAGTACTTCTGTCATGTGGGGAGATGATTCAGTTAGGGAATTCAGTAGATTTTCTTTTCTCTGTTTGCTTCTTTTGCTTGTTTGAGTCAAAATGTGTTTGTTTTTGTTTCCAGTGGTTTTTGTGGAAGGAAGCAATTCACACCTTTTTTTTTTACTGTAGCTTTTCTTTCTTTTATTTCACGTTTGTCAGCGTGCATTCTTAGATGTTTATAGTAATACACCAAATTATATCATCAGGAATTGGAGGCTTACATGTATTTAGGACCTGGGGCAGTCCTTAATCAACAGCTTTAACATCCACAATCCTCCATGTGATTTGTTAGCCCTGATAAACTGTGAACCAAGATCGCTACTAATTAGTTCTCATGTAATGATCAATATGAATTCTTTAATGGCCAAGTCGCATTAAAACGAATTTTGGTCTGTTTATAAGTGCATAAGGAAGCGATAGAAACTGCTGAGAGAAGTGTATTCTGATTTAAACTACAGTGTCAATATCTTGTAATAGATTTTGAGTAGTTTATGTCATTTTTAATAAAGTTATGTGTTTAATTACCAGAAAATGAAGATATTTTACTAAAAAAACTTTTTCCTTTTTATTTTTTATTTATTTTTATGTATGGTCGTTTATGTGAGAAGCCATAACTCTTTGGTCTTGCAAGCCTTAGACAATCAAGTCCAAAGAGAGTGCAATTTATTTTAAAATACCCTTTTTACCTTTTTACAGGCACATATCAATTAACACATTGTATGATGTATGACACGTTTTAAAGTGGGCCTCCCCTCAGGCAAAGTGTGGGAAAATGGATACCTGTGGGATCATTATTATGTTCTATGATCAGATAGTCTAATATTGCTCTTTGACACATCTTCAGACTACACCAAATACACAAAAACAAAGTCGTTCCTAAGGCATTTATTAGTTTCTGACTGATAAAGAAGGAAAAACTTCCCCTTAACTATGGTATCTCAGTTCTATGTGATGTATTTTGATTGATTGAACTAATAATAATAATATAATAAGTAATGTAATATTTTTTCACTAAGCCTTCCCTGAAACTGTTTGCCACCCCCCTGGAGAGGCCCGCCTCCCACTTTGAAAACCTCTTATGTGTGAGAACCTAAAGTGTGTTAGGTTTTCATAAGTCAATCGTCTCATGGTCTCCCATGTCATAAAGTTTGACAGACATTAAAACTGCACTACTCACTAGCATGCACTCATACTAGTGCATGATGGTAGTAGTGATGCAGGGTAGGATCTACAGTAGGTGGTTTTCATGTATTATTTCAGCATGTGAGGTGTTTAGATGTGCCATATGCTATGGCAAACAAAAACTCTCTGGTTACTCTCACTTGCCGTGGCACACATTTTATGCAGCGCTGTCACATGACAATAAGCTGAGCCTCGACAGGAGTAGGTTTATTTTGCCTGACTAATTTGGTGTGCGACTGTGGCAAGCAGCTGATTCGTTGTGGTCATGGTGACGCCCCTCCTCTCCTGCCAGGTTGAGCAACTGAAGGAAGAGCTAACTCACAGCCAATCAGAGAAGGAGGAGCTAAGGCAACGAGCCAATGAGCTTCAGCAGGAGTTGTCTGCAGTAAGACACCTCTTACTGCTCTTTCTTTCTTTCTTAGTTTCTTCCTTTGGTGATCTCTCGCCCTCTGTCTCACAGATTGACTAATGGCTTCTGCTTGAGTAGAATCCAAGTAGTGTGACTGTGTGTTCAGACAGCAGTAAGCAACTATAACTCTCAGATGCTGTTCACTCTAAGCAGCTGACACAAAATACTATTTGATTTGAGAGTGGGAGAGCAACATGCTAAATCTATCCATACACTACATTTTATCATCGTGTCACAAGCTATCGTCACTTCATTTTCATTTGGTCAATCAAATAGGCCATATTAGCCCACATTGATCAACACCATGTCTCAGTACAGTGGACAGAGCAGGCAATAGTAGACATTAGTCTGAAATTAATGTAGTAAATGGGCAACAGAGAGCAGTACTTGAAATCGACCTTTATGCTTTAAATTAAGGTGTTAAACTGTGGTTAAGTAATGTGACTTTCTCTAAATCCTAGTCTTCCATAGATGTATTTGTCAGTTGGGGAAGTTTCCTAGGGGACATTATTTTATGTTTATTGTGCTGTGATATTTTGTTCATATGAACAGGTTCTGTCAATGATCAATGGCTGTTGACAGTAATAGTTGTTTCTAGCAGTCTGAACTGTGCAATTACAACCTGGGCCTTCAAGCTGACAATCCAGCTGCACTGTGCTACAGTATGCGTATCTCCAACCCTCTTCCTCTTTCTCCTTGCATGCTTCTCTCAACTAGTGGCTTGGGTTATCTTGCTGAGGTTTTTATATTGTATGATAGATTTTCCTGTGTGTGGTTAGGGTCCATTCTTGTTATTTGTCATGGTAAATTATATCCCAAAATATACTCCCAATCACCTCATTGAGATGCCATAGGAACTTTTAAAGGTGTCACTTGTAGAGATGAAGCTGTTTCTAATAATATTTTTGGGACAGCTGAAAGAATCGACCCTGACCCTCTCATACAGTACTAATTACTAACAAGTAGTTTAGAAGTACAGTATATGTTTTAATAGGGGTGTAGTACTACACTGTATGTGTGTCTAACTGGTGTTTGCTTTTCAGGAGAAAAATTAGGAAGGATGCTAGTTTTTCCTTTTTCGTTAAAAAAGTCTTAATGTGTCTAGATCATACTTGATTGAACTCACAGTTTCCTGCATAAACTGATACAGTAGCCCTTGTAGAAGGCCACGCACAAGTATTACTCCAGTACAGCTAGTACATGTTAGCATGTAATCCTCTCTATTACACACTCTAACTGAGTCTTTCTTCTTTCTATCTCCCCCTCTCTTTTCACGTCACGTGTGTGTGTTGCTCAGATGGAACAGGCAAAGCAGGACCTGAGTCGTAAGGACAGCGAGCTGTTGGCTTTCAGGACCAAACTGGAAACTCTGAACAATCAGTTTTCTGACAGTAAGCAACACGTGGACGTACTCAAGGAGTCACTTACTGCCAAGGAACAGCGAGCCGCTATACTGCAGACTGAGGTACAGCTACTCTTATACTAGTACTTTTTGCTGTATATACTGGTACGAGTAATTATCACAAAAAAGTGATCTTTGGTGTGTAAATATTTATTTCCACTGACTTTTAATCGTGTGTGTGTGTTCGCACAGGTGGATGCGCTGCGTCTGCGTCTCGAGGAAAAGGAGTCTCTCCTCTCTAAAAAGAGTCAGCAGATATCAGAGTTGACAGAGGAGAAAAGTACTCAGCATGGAGAGATCAGCGACCTCAAAGACATGCTGGATGTCAAGGAACGCAAAGTCAACGTGCTGCAGAAGAAGGTAATAAAACACCAAATACTTCTTTGATTTCCAAATCAGACTGGATGTCAATGCAGGTTAAGAAAATATATTAAATTGATCGGGTAAATTCAAATTTATGTGATTCTGCTAAATGTGGCGCTTAACAGACATGGATATGTTTCAGTAGATTAATTTCACCTGGAAAGACATGGAGGACACATGTCAATTGAATAGGCTAAAGGTTAAATAAGCCTGAATAGAAATAGTGATCACAAGAGGTGAAAACAGCTTTTATTTAGATGAACATGTTGTTTGTATAATGGATGACAGACATAGAGACGCACACCATTCACTTTCATTCTGCACATCACAACAAGATATGATGTTGTCATGTAATTTTACAACCACTAGATGGCGCTGTAAGACAGTACGTCGTTTGGGAGCTGAACCAGACAGAAGCACAAATAGACAGACTGGTGAGCAGGCAGACAGGACACACAGACAGGCAGGGATACAGGTGTTTACCGCAGTTTTTTGCAGACTTTTCATTGTGTTTTTGTGTGTGTGCATCTCTGCGGTAATGCTGTCAGTTAGATGGACAGGCAGGAAGGAGTGACCCCCTGACTTTGCTGTCTGGCATACACACAGATAGACATACACACACACACACTGGCATTGGATGGATGGGGGGATGAAGGTTGGGGGTTCAGACAATTGTTTATACAGTAACATCTAACAAATTACATGTAATAATAAGCACCAAAAAAAACCCAAAACCAGTCTACAGTTGTATTCTCACATTACCAGCCCTTTTGCCTCTCTAGCCATAAAAATTCATCCTCTTCCCCTTTTTCTCCCTGTCCCTCCAGTTGTCACTTGTAGAACAAGTGGAGAGTGTGAGCAGATAATTGATAGAGACAATCAAGCAGACAGACATAAAGCAGGACAGGGAGGGGGAGGAGAGAGACAGAGTGTGTTTGAAATCAGATGCATACTAATGAGTTCCTCCTGTTCAATAAATGATGACCTCTGCCGTCTACAAACAGAATCCAGTCCAGTGTCTGAGAGGGAGACAGAGATGCTGCTGACTCCTTGTTTATCTAATCTGCACTTGTGATTTCCTCATTTCTTCTCTTTTTTGCATGTGGAAAAAATAAAAATACCATCTTTCTGTTTCCACTTTGTCCTCCTCCTCCTCCTCCTCCGTCTCTCCCTCTTCAGTAGTGAAGGAAATTACCATATGATTAATTGTGAGGGTATTCTTCTGATCTCCCATCATCCTCGTCTCTTTGTTGTTAAATGTAATTTTCTGCTGTATGTGAGGAACATCATGACATAGATGAAGTGAAGCGTCAGCCGGTTATTGTTTTGTTAACATATTCCAGTTCATTATCACAGACGATTTTGGGAGTGAAATGGGATGAGACAGGCATTGCGTGTGTATGTGTGAGTTTGTAAATACAATATATGTATATATATGTGTGTGTGTGTGTGTGTGCGCGCGCTAAGCATCCAGCAGTTGTCAGTTTCAGGAAGTGCAGACGGGATCAAAGAGTCTCGCTGCCTCTCAATGTCAAGTGTGTGTGTTTTGTGTGTGTGTGTGTGTGTGTGTGTGAAAGAGAGAGAGGGGGATGTGTCAGTCAAGCTGTCAGGTGAACAGTTGATTAATGAGGCGCTGGAAATGTTTTACTGTATGAGTACGCACACCCACAATCTCTGTGGTACTGTAAATGTGTGTGTCTCACCTGCAGTGAAGTCAAAGGTTACATACCAATCAGATTTTTTTTGCGACGGGTTGTCAATCGCTTGATTTCCTTTCTCTCTGGCAAAGGAAAGAGACACAGAGAGAGTGGGAGACTGAAATTTTGTAATTTTTACAGCCCAAGTTCACTCCTAACATTACATAAACTTTCCATCTCACTCTTTTTTCCTCAATTTATTATTTCTGTGCTTTTCAACCTTTTGTTCCATCCATTTTTTAATGAATACCACAAAGTTGACATAACTCCTTATCTTTGTCTGTGATCTCTCTCTCTCTCTCTCTCACACACACACACACACACACACACACACACACACACACACACACACTCATTATGGGCTCAGGGAAATAGTGAGTCCTTGCTGATTTTGTGTTTTAACAGAAAATTAATCTGCTACCAAATCACTGTGAAAGGGAAACAGGAGGAGGCAGAGAGAAGAGGAGAAATAGGTGGAAGTTAAAAAAGTGTGTTTTTGTAAGGGTTAAAGATAGCAAAGTTTGTATTTGACAGCCTTTTTCATAGGTTGAAAATATCCAGATAGAATCGCATTAGAACCCTTGAACAAGGAGTTTTTGACCAGAAGAACTACTTTGAAATCAGTGCGAGAGGAAAAACGAGAGAAACAGGGAATGAGGGAGGGAGAAACAATGTTACTGTAATAAGGCTTTTTTTTTATATCGTCAGTAATTTTTAAATGCATTTCTTGCTGTTTTGTGTGTAGCTTTATTTGTTGTCATATAAACAGTTTTTCCCACCCATTAGTGTAATGGGTGGGAAAAGGGCAGTTTCACCTGAACAGGTTATCTATAATAAGCAAGGAGCACTTTTGCCCAAAAATAAATCAAATAATAAAAAGGCCTTCAATGATTATTGCTTTTAGAATGACACTGACAAACATTTGAATGTCCGTAATATAATCATTTTATCAGATTTGTTAAATTTTTTAATTCAGTTTAAATTATTGGCGATGATGCATTTTGATGATTTTGATGAGAAACTTCAAGTAAATAATCTCAATAATTATTATTTGTTTGATATTTGATCATTTATATTTGTCTTATCAATGAGTTATTGGTATCGGCAGATACAGTGTGCCATGAGGAACAAGAAATTGCCGTTGCAAAAGAATTTTGGAAGAATGAAAGGAGAACATTAAATGAATTGATATAATTCAGTTAAGGTTTATAATTCACACTTGTCCATATCTCATAATATAAACTGTTGTTCAGTGTAGTTTTTAATAATTCAGATTTTTTTTGTATTAATACCCTGCAGGTTTGTATCTTTAAGTCTTAATCACATGTATGTTGTTATATTTGTTGTTGTTCATGGTGTTTCATTTTCAGCTAAAGCTGTTGTATTTGTTTTAGTACTGCAAATATTCAGTATTGTCTGGGCTCTAGCTAAAAGCCAGAGTCCCAGTCCCAGATGCCCCAGTGTTTGAAAGCCGATACACTTGTTATTCTTTGGTAAATAAGGGAATTAATTCATCACAAACATAAAAAACACATTGTTCATGTGTATTTCTCTCATTTTCTCTCTGTAGATAGAGAACCTCCAAGATCAGTTGAGGGATAAAGAGAAGCAGCTGGGCGGTCTGAAAGACAGAGTCAAGTCTTTACAGACAGACACGTCAAACACCGACACAGCACTGGGAACACTGGAGGAGGCTCTGGCTGAGAAGGTATACACACACACACACACACCTACACACAAACACAACGCTGGTCAACCTCAGGTGAACTCTCGAGCAAGGTTACATTAATAAAACCAGTACGAGCAAAACCACCGACCACCCGTGTGACGACCAAATGACTCTGGATGAATGGAACTGAACCAATAATCACATTGGCTGTTTTATTATTAAATCATTCACAGCCTGTGTTCATAAAAGATTAGGAACCATCCAACACGCAGTCACATGGCTCGGACTGGTCAGTGCCTGGGTCTAAACATTCAGGTGCTGTAGCCATAAAACAGTCCTGAGCCACCTGAGCATGGCAACTGCACCCTAAACCACCTGTTTGATGATCTGTTATTCTACAGTCAGGACTCCACCCAGATTCTGGGAAAGGACCCAGTGACACTTTTGACCACTTTTAAGTGTTTGATGAGAATATATTTTTGTACTGTAAAGCGCGGTTTGATCTCCTTCGCACGCACACACACACACACACACACACGCACACACAGGAAACAGGGCTATTAATTGTCCAGTGACTAATATTCAGGGTGTCTGCTGGATGTGTGAGTGTTGGCAGGCGGAGGTGGCCTATGACCCTTCACTCAAATGACTTTCACAAGCTTTTTATCATCCATTTCCATTGTTTTGGTGCCTTTGGATGTCTTCCCTTTTTCCCTTTCTTCCCTTTCATTTTTCTTGCTTTCTTCATTTAGTTACTCCTTGTCACACACGTGGTTTTGCTCTGTTCTGTCAAAGCAGAACCGAAATGAGTTTTGTTACCTTTAAGTGTTTTTACTATGTTTTATGCTTCAATTTTATGCAAAACATCTTGTTTGTGTTTCATGCTGTTTATAGGTAATTGTTCAGATGTTTTGTAGTTTTGTCTTTACATACAGTATAAATAACCCTATGCCATGAAATATCTGAATATTGAACATTCACAATCACCTGTTTCTACAGTATCTATATTTGTGAGGAACCTCATTGACAAAATGCGCTTACTTCTAAATAGATCAGTTTTAATCAGTCAGTCGACTGATAAAATGAATCAACAGCCTATTTAATAATCTATTAATCACGGAAGTCATCTTTTTAAGCAAGAATGTCAAATATTCTTAGGTTCTAGCCTCTCAAATGTAAGAATTTGCCCCTCTCCTCTTTTTCTATCATTAATAATTGTTATAATATATATAGACACACACACACACACTCACACACACACACACAGACACACACACATATACAGGTGCTGGTCATATAATTAGAATATCATCAAAAAGTTGATTTATTTCAGTAATTCCATTCAAAAAGTGAAACTTGTATAATGTATACATTCATTCCACACAGACTTATATATTTCAAGTGTTCATTCCTTTTAATTTTGATGATTATAACTGACAACTTGTGAAAACCCCCAAATCAGTATCTCAGAAAATTAGAATATTGTGAAAAGGTTCAATATTGAAGACACCTGTTTGCCACACTCTAATCAGCTAATTAACTCAAAACACCTGCAAAGGTCTTTAAATGGTCTCTCAGTCTAGTTCTGTAGGCTACACAATCATGGGGAAGACTGCTGACTTGACAGCTGTCCAAAAGACGACCATTGACACCTTGCACAAGGAGGGCAAGACACAAAAGGTCATTGCTAAAGAGGCTGGCTGTTCACAGAGCTCTGTGTCCAAGCACATTAATGGAGAGGCGAAGGGAAGGAAAAGATGTGGTAGAAAAAAGTGTACAAGCAATAGGGATAACCGCACCCTGGAGAGGATTGTGAAACAAAACCCATTCAAAAATGTGGGGGAGATTCACAAAGAGTGGACTGCAGCTGGAGTCAGTGCTTCAAGAACCACCACGCACAGACATATGCAAGACATCGGTTTCAGCTGTTGCATTCCTTGTGTCAAGCCACTCTTGAACAAGACAGCGTCAGAAGCGTCTCGCCTGGGCTAAAGACAAAAAGGACTGGACTGCTGCTGAGTGGTCCAAAGTTATGTTCTCTGATGAAAGTAAATTTTGCATTTCCTTTGGAAATCAAGGTCCCAGAGTCTGGAGGAAGAGAGGAGAGGCACAGAATCCACATTGCTTGAAGTCCAGTGTAAAGTTTCCACAGTCAGTGATGGTTTGGGGTGCCATGTCATCTGCTGGTGTTGGTCCACTGTGTTTTCTGAGGTCCAATGTCAACGCAGCCGCCGTCTACCAGGAAGTTTTAGAGCACTTCACGCTTCCTGCTGCTGACCAGCTTCATGGAGATGCAGATTTCATTTTCCAACAGGACGTGGCACCTGCACACAGTGCCAAAGCTACCAGTATCTGGTTTAAGGACCATGGTATCCCTGTTCTTAATTGGCCAGCAAACTCGCCTGACCTTAACCCTATAGGAAATCTATATTTCCTTTATTTTTTATTGTGAAGAGGAAGATACTCCAGACCCAACAATGCAGAAGAGCTGAAGGCCATAACAACCTGGGCTCATAACACCTGAGCAGTGCCACAGACTGATGGACTCCATGCCACGCCGCATTGCTGCAGTAATTCAGGCAAAAGGAGCCCCAACTAAGTATTGAGTGCTGTACATGCTCATACTTTTCATGTTCATACTTTTCAGTTGGCCAACATTTCCAAAAATCTTTTTTTGTATTGGTCCAAAGTAATATTCTAATTTTCGAGAGATACTGAATTTGGGATTTTCATTAGTTGTCAGTTTTAATCATCACAATTAAATGAAATAAACAATTGAAATATATCAGTCTGTGTGTAATGAATGAATATAATATCCAAGTTTCACTTTTTGAATGGAATTACTGAAATAAATCAACTTTTTGATGATATTCTAAGTATATGACCAGCAGTATGTGTATATATATATATAATTTCTTGATTTTATAGACCAAACAATTTATGGATTAATTATGGAAATAATCTGTAGATTAATCAATAGTTTAAATAATAATTAGTTTAAATCATAACCTAAAACCCAGTCTTGAACCTGAAATAGCTATGTGAGTATATCCTTGCTTTCAAAAAAATTGTTAAAATAATGTGATCTGTCCTCACAAAGATAGAACTACAGTACAAGGACACACACATCACAGCCAGTATATACTCTTTTGTGCTGCTTTTGTGTGTATGTGTGTGAACTTTTATACTTGAGCTGGCCGCTGTGTCGTTCTATAGCTGGAGAGCCTCTATAGTTTTTTAGTGGTTGTGAATATTACATCTTGTGCCAGAACATATTACGTGTCTAAAATCACTGTTGGCTGTCAGATCCTGTCAAAGCTGCCATGTACATAAAGTTTAATGCGACTGTTATTAGTATAGAAACTTGATATTGAGTGGCTGGGCTCTTTCTGTCTCTATTCTTCTAACTTCCATCCCTCATTCCTGTCCTCCTCCTCCTCTTTCTTGATTTCCAGGAGCGAATCATCGAGCGGTTGAAGGAGCAACGTGAGAGGGAGGAGAGAGAAAAGGGAGAGGAGATGGAGTCCAGCAAGAAGGAGCTGAAGGAATTGAGGGAGAAAGTCTCCCAGCTGCAGGCTGACCTGGCTGACCGTGAGGTAGAAGACATACACACACTCCATATCTGTGCTGCAACTCAGAAAAACTACCTCTGTCTCCTCTCCCTCTCTGTGTCAAGGAAACGTGATTGATCTATTGCTGCAGGACAAACCTCGGATCCTCCCAAAGTCCTTCGCGCTGAAGGACAACAGCGATAAACAGTCACATTTCCTTGACAACAAAATGCTTCACAACAAATGAAAACAGCGACTGGAGCTGAGTTCCTTTTGCTTTGTGATTCATACAAAATACCACACAGAGGCAGAGAGTGAGAGACAGAGGATAACAAAGCAGTCTTAAGCAGTCTTTGCTGTATTCATCCTGCAGCGGTTGGGCAGCACATTTACAATTAACCATGTCAGGAAAACCAGTGTTTTGCAAAACAGTGTATTTTGACAAAGAATCACTCAGGAGACATTCGGAGGTGTAAGCCTAGTGTTTAGAAGGCATCATAAAGTAAGTTTCTGCATCCTGCTGTACATCCAAATTGTAGATGAAAACAGGGTCAAGATCACCACTGATGCATAAAAAATAACTATTGTTACATTTAGTGCTAAGTTTTTCTCTACAAAGATTTTAGTACAGACCTAGATCTTAGCCCACTTGTTGAGTGGTTTAAATTTTCCTCACTTAACACCACTTTTTTAAACACACACAAGTTTCATGTAAGGGTATGTTCTCAGTTTTGTTAAGACAAAAAATTACACTTGGCGTCACAAAACTGTGAATGCGTTTTTATGCATTTGCATTATTCGTCTAGATAGTTTGGTCATTTGAAATATCCACTTAATTAGCTTTCTTGCTGAGAGTTAGATGAGAAAATTGATAGCGTTCATGTTTGTGAGCAAAATATAAAGCTAGAGCCAGCAGGGGGTCTCCATAAAACCATAAATTGAAGTTTTTATATTTCAGTTTTGGACAGATTAAACAAACCAGATACAGTGTAAATTACTGAGCTGTAGAGGTGCTGGTAGGCAGATGTTTTTACCTTTGGACAGAGCAGGGCTAGCTGTTTCCCACTGCTTCCAATCTTTATGCTAAGCTAAGTAACCGCTTGCTGACTCAGGCTTTACATGTAGCGTACAGATTTGAGAGTGGTATTGATTTCCTCATTTAAGTCTTGGCAAGAAAGGGAATATGCATATTTCCTCAAAACTATACAGTTAAAATGGAAAAATACACCCTAAAATCAAATGCAAACATGCTGTTGTAATGAAAAGTCCATTATGCTTTTTTTGACTTTGACTCTTAAGCTAATTTAAAGCGATTGTAAGGTCATAAAACCTGTTACAGTCCCATTATACAGTTTGAGAAATACATGGGAAAACTCATGGAGAAAAAAAGAATTCCTTTCTACACTGCTAAACACAGATGTGGGGTTTGTCTGACAACAGCAATATATATGTACCTAAATATAATCAGAGTAAGGAGCAAGGTTTCTCTGACCAAAGCCTAGTCTAACATGATGATCCGTAGTCTGGAGTTGGTATTGTCAGTCAAGGGTAAAATTACACGTCTGAGTGTCTCTCCTTCTGGTCCTGTTGGTTTCTGTTTCACTGGCCCTACCAAAAGAGGAAAAGACCAGAAAAGAAAGGGGGAGAGACTTCACGGATGGAGGGATTGAGCTGGAAGAGTGAGAAAGGAGACAGGTCATGGGGAAAGGTTTTGAAGAACAAGGGACAGTTGATCCCACAACTGGGTAGGAAGGAATTAAAAGAAAATGAAGGTCTTAATACAAGTTGCATTATGTTTTTGGAAAATGATCAGTCCTATCAGTAACAGTAACATTGTGCTCACCAAACATATTTGGCTGAGAAAATGAAGGAAAACATTTTTTAAAAAAAATCTAAACAACTGTCATTGTAAACAACATTGCAGTTTCCAGGTCGAGTTATGGGTTCAACTTTGACCTAGCACACTTGCTGCAGTAACTTTATTGTGTAATGGAGGATTATTATCACCTGCGCTCTCTCTCGGTTTTACCTCAAGTTTTAGGAACTACTTTGTTGAGTACAATGTTATCATAACCAGTAGAAAACATTGCCAAAATAACAAAAATAGGACCCAAGTTGAAATAAACTGGAATTATCCTTTAATGCGGGTTTGTGGCAATAATGTTGATGAGCAATGCACTTAACCTCTAACTGCTTCAGTAGAGCTGCTCAGTTTCTAGCACTAAGACATTTTCCTTATCTGTCTTTATCTGTCCATTCTTCTGTCTTTTTTGCTTTCAGACTTCTGTGTTGGATCTGAAGGAGAAGGCTTCTTCTCTGGCTTCCTCCACTCTGAAGAAGGACAGCAGGCTGAAGAGTCTGGAGATCAGCCTGGAGCAGAAGAGAGAGGAGTGTGTCAAACTAGAAAATCAACTCAAGAAGGTTAGCTGTTTCAGGTTTTGGTTTTGGCTGTGTGAAATAAGGGATTATTAATAAAAAATTATAAAAGCATATAAATTAGATGTTGTAGAGTTCATAAATTGTCTAAAGTTTGGCACCTGTATTTGACTGTATTTGGACCAAAACTGGTGGAATAAAAATATTAAGAACAATATTTGAAAGCTCAATGATGTTACTGATAGATGGGCAACATTAACCACTTAAAATCATCAATAATATGAATCTGAGGGGTGGAAAATACAAACAGAAGACAGAAACACAAGTACACACAAATGGAGGATTTTGAACTAAAGAGCCCCGTGTGTCTTTCTCCTCTTCCTTGATTTCCCTTAACTGTTTTCCAAGAAAGCTGTGTGTGTGTGTGTGTGTTTACACATCACATATTCTCTCCCACACAGCAGCCCATAAAATGGTGTGTGTGTGTGTGTGTGTGTGTGTGTGTGTGTGTGTGTGTGTGTCCTTGACGGCTTGCTGACAGCCTTGCCGTCATTTTCACAGAGTGGAGAAGACAGCATTACCACTACACCCTGAGTGTGTATGTACGCCTGTGTGTGTGTGTGTGAGAGACAGAGAGAAAGAGAATGTGAATGAAGGTGTCAGTGGTTCTCTGGTGTTTCTCTCATTAGAGTTTATTTCTTAGTCTCTTTCTGTTACCATGGAGAGAGAAAAGAGTGAAAACTTGTCTACATGTGTATGTGAACTGATTGTGCATGTGAGATTGTATTTGATGTTTCTTTTTTCCTTTCTTATTTCTCTCTCTGTCTCTTCCCTCCACCCAGATCTTCTTATAATATTGTCAGACACCCAAACATTTCCTCTCCACAAAAAGACCTGTAAAAACTGTTGTTCACTTCCAAAACTAATAGGGTTTATGTATTGTGTGACCAAGGCGTGTGCACACACACACAAAGTCTGTCCCAAGAGCAACATTTGCTTCTGGGAAACGCACACAGCTGTTCTAACCTCTAAGCTGTTTTTTTGTCTTTGTTTTTTATTTCATTTGTTTCTTTTTCTCCTTTTTTGTCATCTTCTGTGTAGCTTAGCAGACCAGCACAAAGAATAAAGATGCTGCAACTCAGATTAAATCACTTTTTAATTCACTTACGTTTTTCATGCTCATGGCAATCTTTACATAAATCAGCATTATGTGCATTTGTGTGTTGTGTGTGTGTAGAAACCAACTCAAATCCAAGACACCATCAGTGAGCCAGACTAAAATGCTTAGACATGTTAATTGCATACTGTAACCAAATAACACACACATATTTATAACACAGCAACATTTATAAGTTAACAAATTTGTGTAATACTTTGGTTTATCCCTGCGACCCTGTACACAGGATAAGCGGTTGATGATGGATGGACTTTGGTTTATATTCAAATATCTGCAAAACTTATAGCATTTCTATGAGCCTTCGCTGTAACACGCTAATCTAAGATGGTGAACATGGTAAACATTATACCTGCTAAACACTGACATTTTAGTATTGTCATTGTGAGCATGCTGATAGTAGCCTTTAGCTCAGCTTCATAGAGCTGCTCACATGGCTACCTGCTCTTAGTACTGAAAAATGCTCAGCTGTTAAAAACAAGAAACCCAGATCACTTCAAATTGATTTTCACCATAATTTTGATGCCCTCACACATGCAACAGTTGTTGTCTTGCCTGCTGTAAGAAGCCATCACAGTTTACAAAAAACAAAGCCCTCTAGGTTTTTGGAGGAACGTGGGGAAAATACTAATGACCTGCAGAATATTTCTCTTAACTTAAAAAATAAATCATGGCTGAACAGGTGTTTTTACATTTTTTCTTCCATTTTAAATTTTTACCACCTTTTGAAATAAAATGTTTTATTGGATTATTACTTTAGAACAAAGGGGCCCTAAATGAATTGTACAAAATTCATTAAAATCCTACATGTTTGTTTGCGTTAGCCCGTCTTGGTATCCACTAAATAAGTAAGTGATGCGGCCTCATTATGTTGAAACATTTCTATTTCAAACTATGGAGACAGTCTGCCAATATATCTAAAGTTAAGATCTGGTATGAAAGTATACACATTTTGTATCAGGTTGCTAAAAGACTGTTGTGTAAATATAATTTTATCAAGCAAAGATTGATTGAATTATAGACCAATTATACTCCTAAACAGTTTCCAACGGCACGTGTCACTTTCATCAAATCCATCCAACCCATCCTCAACACCCATGTTGTTATTGGCATATTCACATCCAGCAAATGGTGGTCACCTAATTTTGAAAGCTAACGCTCGGTTTATTTGTAATAATTAATTTCTGTTCTAGGCTCAGAGTGCAGCAGCAGATTCCCAGGCCAGCACTGAACTCTCCGAACGCATCTCCTGCCTGGAGCAGGAAGTGACCCAGCACAAGGAGGAAGCTGGGAAGGCCCAGTCCGAGGTGGAACGACTTTTGGAGATCCTGAGGGAGATGGAGAATGAAAAGAATGACAAGGAGAAAAAGATTCACGAATTGGAGAGGTGAGAGATGAAATTCAAATCTTCCTCTTTCCTCTATATACTGTTGGAGTCTATGGTAATCTTTCCTGCAGCACTAATCCAGACGTTTTCCCTTTATCTCAACCTTTCTTCTCCCTTCTTTCTTCCCCTTTTCTCCTTCCATTTCGGCTTTTGTCATCACTCTTTTCTAATTTCTGTCATTGTACCTTTGTCACGTGTGCATAAATGTGTATGCATACACGTGATTCTGCATCTGTGTGAGTGCGCTTACGTTTGCTCGTGTGTGTGCGTGTGCCCATCACAACCCAGAGACCCCTCTGCTTCTCATCTGTGGCGTTCTCAGCAGTCGCGAAAACAGGCCCCTCCCTCCGCTGCTTCTCAGCAGCCAATGGGGGGGCTGGTGTGGGACTACCTGGGCACGTGAGTCGCTGGTGGCCCTGTCAGTCAGTTAGACAAATGCACGACAAAACTCACTTTGCTTGTTGGAGGACGGGACATGGGAGCACAATTAAAGCAACCAGTGGAACCATGTGGAAAAGCGATATGGGAGTAAATGCCAAATTTGTCAAAAGGGAATTTGATGGACAATTACACACAAAAAACCTCAATTTTTCCCATTGGGAATTGAACGTGTAACCACTAAAGGACCACAAGTGGAAATCCTAGATGAAATACATGTAGCAGATCTATACACATAGATATTGTAGGTCAGCGGTTCTTTTATTGAGATTAAAATACGATTGAACAGAAGTGTGAGAAATTGTTGTTTTCCTTTGTCGTATATATATTAAACTTAATATACTTTAAATTCAGTTCTTGGAAATTATCATGGATATTTTTCTCTATTTTACAGACAACACAATTCATTAAATAATTGAGAAAATAAACAGCAGATTTATTAATATTGCCCATTAATTGCAGCCCTAAAATCCGTATTTTTCTCAGTGTAGAAAATATAATGTTGAATGTTGCAAGCCTTTTCCACATGGCACAGAGCTGAGTATATTCACTAATAATCACCATCGAAGAGTTGCAGCATTGTTTGAATGTTTCCCAAGCCTCTCTGATAGGGCTTATTTGGACTGTTCGGTTCCGTTAAAGAAAATTCCCCTAAAGTTCAGTTATCGGCTCCGGTTGTACTCACACATCTGTGCATCAGCGGGAGGTTTTGTCTTCTGTTATACTGCAGTATGACAAGCCAAACTGCTCCCAAAAGTTTGTAAAATGAGGGCACGGTTTGGCACTAGAATCTCTACTGTGCAGTCTGAAACTCTTTGAGCCTCTGTGCCTGTCAATGATGCAACTCTTTCATTTAGTGGCTCTGTTTTCACGCTTCACTTTTGTTTTACTTGCAGTCCAGGATGCCTGACTTTGCAGAGTTTAACACACTCTTTTTCTTTCATTAGGAGTCTGGACAGTTCACTCATTTTTTTGTATTTCCTTTATGCTAATATTAATGGTTTGTCAGTTTCTAACTACTTTTTTACCTGTTTGCGTAATTTTGGCTTAACGTGTCTATCTTTCACTCTTTATGTACACTATATCTAACTCATAAACTAGTCTTAATCTTTTCTTTCTGTCTATATCTGATTATATGTCTGCCTGCATGCCTGCCTGCCTCTGTGTTTACCTGTCTCCCTGAATATCTGTCTTATTCTGTTTGTCTGTTATTCTGCCTGTGTGTCTGTTCATAAGTCCGTTATGAAGATTACTTCAGAAAACAGCAGCCTCAGGAGATTAAGTCACTTATTTAACTAAATGTTTTTCTTAAGCAGGGTCAGGTGTCTTCATCTCATGGCCAACAGTTAAATAATAAGGTTAAAAAAACAATTTGATGGGTTATATTTTAGTTTGAGTAGTGAGAGCAAAGTTTGTTAGACAGATCAGAGCTGTCTGTGGTTGAAAACTGGTCCGTCTGTCTGTCTGTACGCTTCTCAGTGGCTTTGATTTCTGAACTATCAGATGCTTTCTGTCTGCGCCTTCTCATCTCTTTCTCTTTCTGTCTCTTTAATCTTTTCCTCCTGTTTCTTCCTTGGACACGATCTCTACCTACTCCTACTCCTCTCTCCTCTCTCCTTTCTGTCTGTGTGTTTAGCGGTTTGACTGTAAGACTAATGGTTGTTAATGATTTTAGGGAGATTCAGTGTTTCCTCACTGTGTCTCCGTCTGGCCAGTAGAAATACTAGACTATTAATAATTCAGCACCTGCTGACTTCAAACTGGAGGGTTTTAACTGTGTGTGTGTGTGTTATTTAGTCTTCCAATAGCCACAGATGCAGATTTACAGCAGTACTAGCTTTCTGGATAACATTGTAACGTAAATTTATAGCCGTTTAAAATTGCAGATCGTTGACCTCTTAAGCTCTTACATCATATGTATTTGAGAGATGTTTCATTTTCCCTGTTGATTACAATAAAATAAAGGCTTCTCTACAACTGATTTTTAATATCTGAACTATGCAGGCTGCTCTTAGGAAACTGGAATGGTATTAAATCTGGCCTTAGTGCCATATGTTTGAGAACAGTATCGTGTAATTGTAAAATTAAGATTAAGTAGATTTTTATGAGGAAATTTGATTTTGCTTTTACACACTGACACACACAGTGATTACTGTGCAGTAAGCGGTTATAGAGGTTATATTACAGGGTGTAAGGACCCATGATACTTTTTACATCTTCACATTTAGTGGTTTTATCTAGCTGTTAGATGTATGATGAGCAAAGTTATCCCTGACTACCTTGAGGCTGTGGTTAAATGTTGACACGGGGTTGAAACATGAAAAGGGCAGAACTCACTGTTTTTAAGCCCCACCCCCCTTAATTACTAGTTGCTTTGCTTGTCAAGGTAGTTTCCCATTTTCACATAGGACATGTGCAGTTAACAATTATAACTTTGGCAGATTTACCACCCAAAAGTCTTATTAAGGTATTAAGTTTTCTGATTTCTGTCATTGTACCTTTTTCACATGTGTTTTATAATTATGTATGCATTCATGTCATTCTGCATCTGTGCGAGTGTGTTTATGTTTGCTTGTGTGTGTGTGCCCATTACAACCCAGAGACTACTCTGCTTCTCACCTGTGGTGTTCTCAACAATTGCCAAAACAGGTCCCTTCCTTGGCTGCCTGTCAGCAGCCAATGGGGGGGCTGGTGTGGGACTACCTGGGCACGTGAGTGGCTCGTATCCCTGTCAGTCAGTTAGTCAGATGCACGACAAAACTCACTTTGCTAGTCGGAGGACGGGATATAGAAGCACAATTAAAGCTACCAGACCCATGTGGAAAAGCTGTATATGAAATGAAATTCAAATTTTTCAAAAGGTTTTTTTTTTTTTTTAAATAATAGGTCATTGATTTCAGACAAAAGAAGGCTTCACAATTCAATCCAGCCCTTGTCAATTTTACAGACTGAAATGACAACTGTCACTGGACAGATTTTGTCAACTGTTGCAAGCCAGCTAATTAACGTTGAGCTGTTTGCAAAGTATAGATACTCCTGTTAAAATATTACTCCAATACAAGTGAAAGTTGTTCAGTGACATTTTTACTTAAGTTAAAGTACTGGAGTAATTTAAAAATACTTAGTATTCTGAAGTACATTTTCTCTTGCATTGTGTTGTTGCCAGTATTTGTACTGTGTTTATTTGTCAAGATTAAAACATGTCTCATTTAGTCAGTAACATTAACTTTGTGCTGCAGTGGATACAAACAGGACCTTGACAGGCAAATACACTAAAATACATAAAAGTAATTTGACCAAGAATAGCACAAGGTTTGATGGCTTCTTTTTGTAGGCAGTGATGAAGTTTGTGCGCGGTGAACTGAGCAAACATTCTAAACGATATGAATCTTTCTACATTTAAAAAATCTCAAACATGGACTTCAGATATGGCCATGGGCACATATGTAATTAATGTTTTTTTATTTTCAAATACTGCTGTAGGTACTAAGCTAGTTAGCTGAAAATGTTAATGATTGCAGCTGATGTTGGAACAAACCAATACACATTTTGCACACTTTGGCTCTTATATTTTTGGTTTTGGAAAGGCTAAAATAACTCACCCAAAGTGTTCACATATGTCAGTATTTGTAACTGTAAAAATATTAAGCATGGTGGTTTGGAAAGCCATGGATTAACAAACAAATGTTCCCTGTTTAAGATTATTATAATGTATTCAGCAACTAGGCTTTTTGGAACCCGCAAGCACTGACCCTGTAACATAAAGTGTACTAATACTGACTTAAGACTTAGCCTTGAGCTAACAGCAACGTCAGAGGAGGATACATTTGCCTGTGGCCAACTCTTAGTTTGGCACCTAGGCTAACCCTGGGCTACGAGTAAGCAGCGGGAACATTACTAATGAAAAGATCAGATGCGGGTAAAACAAGGTGAAAATCAACCCTCTCACTTTCCCCTCTAGTTTCAATCCAGCTGTAATGGTACCACGTTATTTATTTCAGTAACTAGGATGGTAATTGGAGCAGACTGAGTGACTTCACATTGAGGGGAAATGGAGCTGAAAATCTGCCCTGATGGCCAAAATAAAGGATTTGGATGGAAGAGTGGAAAACAGAGAGGGGGAAAGAAAGAGGAAAAGGGAAAGGAAGGTGGTGGTGGAGAGAAAAGAACAGTGAGACCGAAATAACGGGAGAAGACGTAGGGAGAGAAAGAAAAGACAACACGGTAGTGAGAATCAAACGAATCAAATGAAACTGACAGACAAGACTGGAATGGGAAGAAATAAAAACAAAATGAGAGAAAAATAAAGGAGGTTTAGAGCATAAACCCTGTGTAATGGGAAATTAGAGAACTTTATTGCGTGTTATATTGTTCTATAATGGACAATTTGTCTCTGGCACGCTGTCATTAGCGGACGTTCCCAGGCATAAGCTCACCCTGGAGTTTGGGCTCAACCAAACACATGAGGCAGGATTGTGTGGAATACTTTTGGGGTCAACCAATTTAGGAAGTGAATTTTCCTCAAATTTCCCATCTTGACGATTACATGCCATGTGCCTTTTGGTGTAGACGTCTCCACAAATCCACAAGCTGCGTACGTCTCAAGTGTCCCCAGCGGGAAGTAAAAGAAGTCGTCCTCAATATAAAAACCACTGAAGAAGGAATAATTCACAGTGAGCTCTCAGCTCATGCTTTGATTGGCTAATTGCTCGCTTTCTATGGTGTGTGATTGCCGTTTCGTCTGTGTGTGTGCCCTTAAATGTTTGTAGAGGTCATGGGAGGTGAGCAGTCCTCTTATGACCCTTAACACTGTACTGAAAAGAAGAAACGCCTGCTTTAAACCTGTCTATGTGACTGTCTGTCTGCCTGCCTGCCTAGCTGTTTGCTTGGTCATGCCTGTCTCCCTGTTTCTCTATCGTTAATTATGTCTCTCTAGCTGTCTCTTTGTCATTGCCTCTGCGTCTCATCTCTTTCCTCTTTGAATAGTGATCAAGCTGGCTAACCTACCACTCAACTCCTGTCTTCCCTCTCACCTTACCCTCTCTTTCTCTGCCTCTCTTTCCCTTTCTTTTATCTTTACAATGCAACGCTGTCTCCTGCTCTACCCAGTCTTGCCTCAAGGTTAGTACTGCATGCCTGTTTTTCTTCTTCCATCACTGTCTTTCTCTCCCTCTTTCTCTCTCATTGCTCTCTTCTTCATTGTCATACTTCTTGTCCTTGCATTGAGACACTCTCTCATCTCCCTCACTCTGTCATAAACTCTGTTTTTAATCATTCTCACCATGTCTGTCTGTCTTTGAAGGAGACACCTTGACTTTTGCTCTGCTCTCTCTCTCTCTCTTTGCCACATCACTGCTTCTTTGAAGAGGAAACCTTGTTGTTTCTTTCTTGCACCCTCCATTATAGCGCCCTGCTAGTCTTACGAGCACTTAGTTCAAATTTCAGGCTACCGCAGCAAACAAGAAAAATGTTCAAGTAATGTATCGCCATCATTAACTTGGACAACTCTGAACTTTTGCTCAGAGTACTTATAACTTCTGTTGGGTTTCTGGCTTTGTGGCTTTGTGGCTCTTATTGAGAAACTACTCCACATTTTGTTTCGCTACTTTTGTTAAACAGTTCAGACACTATATCACATCTGTTTTTGTCAGTGGCTCCATAATTGTCGTGAACATTGCAATTGGACTGTTACGTCGTGTCGGTTTAAAGGAATAGTTCGAGCTTATGGGAAATACGCTTATTTGCCTTCTTGCTTATACTGTGTCTTTAAGGTAAATATGTTATTGAGCCAAGAGATGGTTAGCTTACCTTAGCATAAAGACTACAAACAGGGTGAAGCTCAGAACAGCTGTAAAATTCCCAAGCCAAGTTCTTATTAACTTTTACAGAGGAGCAATAGAAAGCATCCTGACTGGAAACATCACCAACTGGCATGGGATGTGCATGCCCAGAACCGGAGGGCTCTGCAGGATACTCAAAGACAGTACCCACCTCAGCCACAGCCTGTTCACCCTGTTGCCGTCTGGCAGGAGATACAGAAGCATCTGCTGTTGTACCACCAGACTCCAGAGCAGCTTCTTCCCCCAGGCTATAAGACTAAATTCATCCTCAGCACGGCACCATGCAAAATAGATTTTTTCTGTTTATAATTTTATATTTTTTGAAAATATCGTTTGCTTTGTAGCATAAAGGGAACTGCAAACTGCATCTTATTTGGCAAATAATATGACAAATAACTATGTGTTACTGTGTCTTGTGTCTTGTGGTGCTGTATTAAATTGTAAAAATATCCCAATACCAGCATCTCTAAAGCTAATGTTTACGTTAGCGTAACGTAACCTAACGTTAATGTCCTGTTGTCGTCACCATTGTCTTTGTCCTAAGCTCATCTTAACTGGCTGCTGGCTGGAGCCTCATGTTTACCAAACAGATAACATCTTATTCTTGTCAAGAAAGTGAAAATGTTTCTTTAAGTATGGCATCGTAGAGCATCGTCCATATTCCAAGATGAAAAAACTCCCTTCTTTTTTGAGTTTTAAATATTACTCAGGAGGTGCCTCTGTAATGAGATTTCAGCATGCAAAACCCAAAGTCTGAATTTGTTTTTTTCTAACAGACATATCAAAGATCATATTGAAATTTCTCCGACCTGCACATTGTGATGGACCACATAATAACCACTTCTCCGTTCTGTTTCCTGCATAAAACTGGTGGTCTGAGTGTTTTGTGCGCTCTGCTCAGGTCTCCCCGGTGCCAGCTCCTTCTTTGCTCTCGCTTTCTTTTTCATCTTCCAGAGCCACTGTTCCCCCTGCCGTCTTGTCAGGTTTTTCATCGCTGTTGTTCTGGTGTTTTGTGATTCAACTCTAGAGGGGGAAGAAAGAAAAAGAAAAAGTTAGCATAGACTTCTTTTTCTTCTTCTGTCCTTTTTATGTTTTTTTTTCTTGTCTTGTCTTTTTTTCTGGTTGTTTTGATCTTGAGCTAAGGAACTCCTCATCCACTGCCAAATGTCTGACATCAAGGTTTCCGTAGCTTAAAAAGGAATTGCATTGTTTCTGTGTGTGTGTGTGTGTGTGTGTGATGCCTGTATGACTCTGAGCATTGAGGTTGTGCAGGGATTTGTCAGCTAATAGGTGATAACACTACAATTCTCAGTACTGAGGATTTAATGAAAAACACACTTGTGTTTAAGAGTATTCAGAAAATAGACACATCTACAGTACAGTTTACAGTGGCTTGTCACTGTAAACTCTGCTTTTTTATCCTTTTATATTTTGCTTTGTTGCTTCAATTCCCCACAGAATGCAAAATCAAACATCTTTTCCTCTTTAAGTATTTTATTTATTTTCTTCTGACCTTATTAAAACCCAATTTATAGACAAGTATTAAATTAGTAGCCCTTTGCTTTTTCCACAAACTGAGCTTGCACATTTTATGAAGGTAATAAAATATGTAAATTGCCATAAAGCATTGTTATTATACCAAATAAGGAATGGGCTGTTTATTAACAAATATACATATTCCTTTGGTTTGCTAAGAAGTCATTTACAGACAAAGAAATGTACAGCATGTATGTATTATCCCACATTGTGACATGACTAATGTTTTGGGTCAGTTTTTTATATCTGATATATAAAACTTTAATAAATATAATGAATTCCAATAGGCTTATTTGGGATTTGGGAGGGTTAGTACACTAGAGCTGCAACAATTAGTTGAATCATTGAGCAACAAAAAATTAAATGGCAGCCATTTTGATAATTGATTAATCTTTTTAGTAATTTTTCAAGCAAAAGTGCTTAACAAATTCCCCGGTTCAAGCTTCTCACTTTTGAAGATTTTATACTTTTTATGTCATATTTGATAGTAAACTGATTATATTTTGGCTTTTGGACACTATATAGCAAGCTATATGAATACATCACCTCTGGCTGTGAGAAATTAGAATGATCATTATAATAATTAACAAGATCAAACAGTTAATTGAGTAATAATCATTAGTTGCAGCCCTCAAAATCGCAGTTCTTATAATAGTAAGAAAAAGCTTACGTTGCGTTAAAACAATGTAAAGTATGTGTTTTGAGCTGTTGCAGATCCCGGGGGCCTCCTGAACCCCAATCAGAACATAGAGTAAAGGAATGCTTCTTTATTTAACTGTATGCATGTATTTCATGCATACAGTTAACAGCATACTGTAAGTATTCAGACTTAATAGTAGCAGTCTTTTTGTGCTGTTGACTTATCTACAATGCAAACTAGAGTTCAGATCAGAAGACGAATATTAGGCTAAAGAACAGAGTGTCAGCATTGAATTCAGGGACTTTGTTGTTCTCCAACAGAGACACTGCCAAGATCAACTCCAGCTCTCTATCACATGCTTACACTATTACTATTATCTAAACACTTTCCTTTAGTTGTATGTTTAGTTCTGAAATGTGGATATATCCCGTAAATGGGATTTATTTTCACAAGGACAGATGCTATTAAAAAAGACATTTCATTCCGTCTGCTGTTATATCATAGCATTTTTTATAGCTGGTTTCCAGTAATCCACACTGTGGAAGTTTGCACACATACACATGGGTCTTAGTTGCCTTACCTCCTTATTTACCTTGAAAATTTGCTTCTCTGCTTGAGGGATTATCTGTCATTCTGCAAACAACAACATAAGTATTTCTTTCTTTATTCCTCCAAAATGTCCTGCTTGTACTTTTTTAAAAGTTTTTCTTCCGCACCAACAGTGGGCAAGACTAAACCATTATGTTTTGTTTTTTTTCCTTTTTTATGTTTTATAGTTTTTATGGGCTTAATAAACCAAACCAATTTTTCCTGTATTTTCAAAGGAAATACTGAATTCCAAATGGTTAAAAGGAAATCCTTGATGTTAATGTTGGGTCAACGATGTGCAGTAAACATACACGCCCCGAGCATTTCTGATCAAATATTTATACAGGACTGCAAATGTAATATTAATATTACCTTAATGTGGGTCCCTGAATATCAGCAGCATGCTAATGAGCGAGGTTAAAAAAAATATTTTGGAGACTTTGAGGTTTACTGAAGTTTATGAGATTGTATGTGTCTGTGTTTTTATTTTTACAGCTAGTTGCCTGTAGTATTCACTATTTTTTTAAACTTTAATTTTTATTGAAGGCTATTCTATGTTTGTGTGTATGTCTGTGTTTATATATAACATATATGAGTGTTTGTGTGTGTGTGTGTGTGTGTGTATGGTCAGTACATGAGGGTATTTTTGAGGTTTTGCAAAATTTAGAAAGTTCAAAGTGCTGTATGGTAGTGTGTGTTTACCTTAGCATATGTTTGCAATATGTGCTGCTGCATTTGCATGTGTGTATTTCTGTGCAAATGTTGGAAAACATGTTGTTATGTTAAGTGCAGTTGCATGCACAACTGTGTGTTTGCTTCAAATATTTGTGTGTGGTCCGACTGAGAGACTCTAATACAAAGCAGGTTGTGTTTGGAACAGTTGACAGCACCGACTGTGCATGTGTGTGTGTCCCACTATCAGCACTGTGTTGGTAAATGTCCACCTACACTGTGTGTGAGTGTATGATTCTGTGTAGGTTGTGCGTGTATGTGAGTGTTGAGTCGTGGTTTCACTGCACATTTGTATGTGGTGTTTACAACGTTGTGGGTAAAGTGAACTCTTCTGTGATTCCGCCTCCTCCAGCGGTTTTGCAGCAGTTGTTGAAAGCGATTTCGGAGGGAGAGTGAAGGAAGTATTTTACATATTAAAACCGCATCACATGGCACTTTGCCTCCACTGCATCGAGCCATCGAGTTCACCGAGCAACTTCTGTTACTTGACGAGTGTAATGAAAGTGTTTTAGTGTTTAATTAAACACGAGTAAATTCACAACTGCAACTTTTTACCATATTCCTATCACATATGGGTTGTTAGTCAGGATAGAGAAGACATAAGAAATGGAAAGAAAGGACTGGGCTGACACAGGATTTATGCTACACAGTAGAATTTGAACCCATGTAACACCATCACAGTTACATAATAATATAGACATAACATGAATGCGATACATTATCGTACCCCGTAGGGAAATTCTCCTTTCTCCTGACTTCTCCATCGGAAGGTCAGGATCACACAT